AAAAAAATGTATATATAAAAAAAATTATTTAAAAAAAAAAACAAAAAAAAAAAACAGGGCCAGCTCGATGGACACTAAAATAAAAAAAAAAAGTATATATAAAGAAATTATTTAAAAAAAACAAACAAAAAAACAGGGCCAGCTTGATGGACACTAAAATTAAAAAAAAAATGTATATATAAAGAAATTATTTTTAAAAAAGAAATCAGAGCCAGCTTGATGGACACTACCTGAATAGTCAATGCTATATAAGTATCTGCCAAAAAGTCTCGGTTGACATTCTAAATCGTCGGTGCCAAATAGATATCTGTTCAAAAAAAAGTTTGAACCCCCCCCCAAAAAAAAAAATATATAAATAAAAAACAAAACGGGGTCAGACTTAATAGACGCTGTACATGTAAAAAAATAATAATAATAATAAAGATATATATAAATAATAGCAGACACGATGGTTCACTTTTTCTTTTTTCTTCTATTTTTTTATGTTTCTAAAATGAAATACTTTATTGATGAGGGGCAAAGAATACATGATGACAATACGTTGCAGTTCCACCTGCGCCCACGTGAGGGCGCTCTGCATTCAAACTGACACGGCTCAGTGTTGCAGTTCCTCCAGTGTGCATAGAGGGCGTGCCGCCACCATCAAAATGATCGCTGACTCGTCAGGCGCAGTTCCTCCTGTGTCCATAGAGGGCGCTCCGCCACACGATCGCTCAGTAATCCGGAAGGCGCAGTTCCTCCTGCGGCCACGCTGTGGCGCTCGGATGACCCCCCACACCGGAAGTAGTCGCTCCGTGCCCCGGGCGGAAGGCGGTGAGTTGTCGCTCCGGGAAGGAGTCGGGAGAAGGCGGAGATGGAGGCGGCGGGGTGGCTGCTGAGAGCCGTCATCGTTCTGGTCGCACACAGGTCAGTCCGAGCCGCTTCTCCTCTGCCCGGGACGGGCGGTGTCATTCTTCGCTCTCACCTCCAGACGGTGCCCATCGCTGTGTGCGCGGAGAGTGCGATTCCTAGCAGTGAGCAGCAGGTGGCGCACGCGTGTTCAATACATCGGTGTGTTTCCCTCTTCTGACCACCAGATGGCGCCCGTTCTCCATATAATTACACGGAGGGGGGTAAAGGGATGCGCTTCTCCCATCCCGCAGCAGGGGGCGCTGAGATGCCATGTCCAGGCTGTCTCCCCCTGTGGATGGAGTGTCCCCCCCCCCCTGTGGATGGAGTGTCCCCCCCCCCTGTGGATGGAGTGTCCCCCCCCCCGTGGATGGAGTGTCCCCCCCCCCCGTGGATGGATGGAGTGTCCCCCCCCCCCCGTGGATGCAGTGTCCCCCCCCCCCCCCGTGGATGGAATGTGTCCCCCCCCCCCCCCCGTGGATGGAATGTGTCCGTCCCCCCCCCCGTGGATGGAATGTGTCCCCCCCCCCCGTGGATGGAGTGTGTCCCCCCCCCCCCCCGTGGATGGAGTGTGTCTTCCCCCCCCCCCGTGGATGGAGTGTGTCTTCCCCCCCCCCGTGGATGGAGTGTGTCCCCCCCCCCCCGTGGATGGAGTGTGTCCCCCCCCCGTGGATGGAGTGTGTCCCCCCCCCCCCCCGTGGATGGAGTGTGTCGTCCCCCCCGTGGATGGAGTGTCCCCCCCCCCGGATGGAGTGTGTGTCGTCGTCCCCCCCCCGTGGATGGAGTGTGTCGTCCCCCCCCCCCCGTGGATGGAGTGTCCCCCCCCCCCCCCCCCCCCGTGGATGGAGTGTGTCCTCCCCCCCCCCCCCCCCGTGGATGGGAGTGTGACGTGGATGGAGTGTGTCCCCCCCCCCCCCCGTGGATGGAGTGTGTCGTCCCCCCCCCCCCCCGTGGAAGGAGTGTGTCGTCGTCCCCCCCCCCCCGTGGATGGGAGTGTGTCGTCCACCCCCCCCCCCCCCCCCCCCGTGGATGGAGTGTGTCGTTCCCCCCCCCCCCCGTGGATGGAGTGTGTGTCGTTCCCCCCCCCCCCGTGGATGGAGTGTGTCGTTCCCCCCCCCCCCGTGGATGGAGTGTGTCGTCCCCCCCCCCCCCCCCGTGGATGGAGTGTGTCGTTCCCCCCCCCCCGTGGATGGAGTGTGTCGTTTCCCCCCCCCCCCGTCCCCCCCCCCGTGGATGGAGTGTGTCCCCCCCCCCCCCGTGGATGGAGTGTGTCCCCCCCCCCCGTGGATGGAGTGTGTCCCCCCCCCCCCGTGGATGGAGTGTGTCCCCCCCCCCCGTGGATGGAGTGTGTCCCCCCCCCTCCGTGGATGGAGTGTGTCCCCCCCCCCCCTCCGTGGATGGAGTGTGTCCCCCCCCCCCCGTGGATGGAGTGTGTCCCCCCCCCTCCGTGGATGGAGTGTGTCCCCCCCCCCCTCCGTGGATGGAGTGTGTCCCCCCCCCTCCGTGGATGTGTGTCCCCCCCCCTCCGTGGATGTGTGTCCCCCCCCCCCGTGGATGGAGTGTGTCCCCCCCCCCCCCGTGGATGGAGTGTGTCCCCCCCCCCCTCCGTGGATGGAGTGTGTCCCCCCCCCCCCTCCGTGGATGGAGTGTCACCCCCCCCCCCTCCGTGGATGGAGTGTCCCCCCCCCCCCCCGTGGATGGAGTGTGTCCCCCCCCCCCCCCCCGTGGATGGAGTGTGTCCCCCCCCCCTCCGTGGATGGAGTGTGTCCCCCCCCCCCTCCGTGGATGGAGTGTGTCCCCCCCCCCCGTGGATGGAGTGTGTCCCCCCCCCCCCCGTGGATGGAGTGTGTCCCCCCCCCCCCCCGTGGATGGAGTGTGTCCCCCCCCCCCGTGGATGGAGTGTGTCCCCCCCCCCCGTGGATGGAGTGTGTCCCCCCCCCCCCGTGGATGGAGTGTGTCCCCCCCCCGTGGATGGAGTGTGTCGTCCCCCCCCCCGTGGATGGAGTGTGTGTCCCCCCCCCCCGTGGATGGAGTGTGTCCCCTCCGTGGATGGAGTATGTCCCGGCATGATTAGTGTCCCCCCCCCCCGTAAATGTAGTGTGTCCTGGCGATTAGTGTCCCCCCCCCGTAGATGGAGTGTGTCCCAGCGATTAGTGTCCCCCCCATGGATGGAGTGTGTCACGGTGATTAGTGTCCCCCCCCCCCTGTGGATGGAGTGTGTCCCAGCGATTGGTCCCCCCCCCCCCCCGTGGATGGAGTGTGTCACGGTGATTAGTGTCCCCCCCCCCCCCCAGCGATTAGTGTCCCCCCATGGATGGAGTGTGTCCCGGTGATTAGTGTCCCCCCGTGGATGGAGTGTGTCCCAGCGATTAGTGTCCCCCCATGGATGGAGTGTGTCCCGTGGTGATTAGTGTCCCCCCGTGGTGGAGTGTGTCACGGTGATTAGTGTCCCCCCGTGGATGGAGTGTGTCCCGGCGATTAGTGTCCCCCCGTGGATGGAGTGTGTCCCGGCGATTAGTGTCCCCCCATGGATGGAGTGTGTCCCGGCGATTAGTGTCCCCCCAGTGGATGGAGTGTGTCCCAGCGATTAGTGTCCCCCCGTGGATGGAGTGTGTCACGGTGATTAGTGTCCCCCCGTGGATGGAGTGTGTCACGGTGATTATTGTCCCCCCATGGATGGAGTGTGTCCCAGCGATTATTGTCCCCCCGTGGATGGAGTGTGTCCCAGCGATTAGTGTCCCCCCTGTGGATGGAGTGTGTCCCGGCGATTAGTGTCCCCCCGTGGATGGAGTGTGTCCCGGCGATTAGTGTCCCCCCGTGGATGGAGTGTGTCCCAGCGATTAGTGTCCCCCGTGGATGGAGAGTATCCCAGCGATTAGTGTCCCCCCGTGGATGGAGTGTGTCCCAGCGATTAGTGTCCCCCCCATGGATGGAGTGTGTCATGGCGATTAGTGTCCCCCCTGTGGATGGAGTGTGTCCCGGCGATTAGTGTCCCCTCTGTGGATGGAGTGTGTCCCGGCGATTAGTGTCCGCCCCCCGTAAATGTAGTGTGTCCTGGCGATTAGGAGTGTGTCCTGGCGATTAGTGTCCCCCCCCCCCGTAGATGGAGTGTGTCCCGGCGATTAGTGTCCTACCCCTGTGGATGGAGTGTGTCACGGCGATTAGTGTGTCCCCCCGTGGATGAAGTGTGTCACGGCGATTGTGTCCCCCCGTGGATGAAGTGTGTCACGGCGATTAGTGTCCCCCCGTGGATGGAGTGTGTCACGGCGATTAGTGTCCCCCCCCGTGGATGGAGTGTGTCACGGCGATTGGTGTCCCCCCCCCCCCGTGGATGGAGTGTGTCCCTGCGATTAGTGTGTCCCCCCCCCCGTGGATGGAGTGTGTCCCGGCGATTAGTGTCCCCCCCCGTGGACGGAGTGTGTGTCCGGCGATTAGTGTCCCCCCCGTGGACGGAGTGTGTCCCGGCGATTAGTGTCCCCCCCGTGGATGGAGTGTGTCCCGGCGATTAGTGTCCCCCCCTCCGTGGATGGAGTGTGTCCCGGCGATTAGTGTCCCCCCCCCGTGGATGGAGTGTGTCCCGGCGATTAGTGTCCCCCCGTGGATGGAGTGTGTGTCCCAGCGATTAGTGTCCCCCCTGTGGATGGAGTGTGTTCCGGCGATTAGTGGCCCCCCTGTGGATGGAGTGTGTCCCGGTGATTAGTGTCCCCCCTGTGGATGGAGTGTGTTCCAGTGATTAGTGGCCCCCCTGTGGATGGAGTGTGTTCCCCCTGTGGATTGGAGTGTGTCTCAGCGATTAATGTCCCCGTCTCCCCCAGTGGATGGAGTGTGTCATGGCGATTAGTTCCCTCCCATGGATGGAGTGTGTCTCAACGATTTGTGTGTCCCCCCCCCATCCCCCCAGTGTGTCACATGTCTCACTTCCCCCTCCAATCCTCCGTGTGTCACGTTTATTAGTGTCCCCTCAGTTTTCGGTAATTATTCTGCATTTCCTCCTAGGTGGGCGGAGTCATCTCTGATTCAGGAAGAGAGTCCACAGGGGGAATCTGGTAAGTGTTGCGCCACCTGCGGTGTTGCGTGTTCTCTGGCGGTCGCGGTGCGTTCTCACCCCCTCCATGTTGTGTGTTGCAGAGTTCCCGGCGGTGACACCGTGCTGGAAGACCGAGGAATTCACCGTCTCCAAAGATTGCTACAACTGTAACCAGTTTGAGACGGTAAGTGTCCCTCTGACCTGTTGTGGAAGTTTTGCTCAAGAGCGCCCCCTACAGCTGGCCCCCCTCCTGGCACTCAGCTCACTCAATGACGGTTTCTCTTTCCCTTTCAGAAAACGGTGGGTCAGTGTGGTGTCACCGGATTCATCGAGCAGGTCAGCTGCAGCCCGTCCATGAAAGTGGAATACAAGAGGTGAGAGGGTGGGGAGAGGGGGCGGAGCCTACAATGAGCCGTCATGGCTGCCTACAATGAAGGGCGGGGTCAGCAGGCTGGTGGGCGTGGAATGTGGGCGGAGCCATCTATGGCTCCAGGCGGGATTTCCTATTTTAACGAGAACCTGTCCAGGTAGAAGGAACCCCAGCTGACTCTGGGTGGGGCTTGGCAGAGCACGGGGGGGGGGGGGGGGGGGCCTCAGATTAGAGGGGATATCAGCTGGGGGGGTGGGGTTCTCCTTTAAACGGTGCTGACTCTGAGATTGTCTCCGCCCTCTTCCAGCTGGGGTGGTGGGGCTCTCCTTTAAATGGTGCTCACTCTGAGATTGTCTCCGCCCTCTTCCAGCTGGGGTGGTGGGGCTCTCCTTTAAACGGTGCTCAATCTGAGGTTGTCTCCGCCCTCTTCCAGCTGCCGCTCGGTCGCCATGGAGAAGACGGTCTTCTGGGAATTCGTGGGGATCATGATGGTGGCGGCGGTGGTCATGTCGCTGGTGGTGGTGTTCCGGCAGAGGACGCTGGACCGGAGGGCCCTGGAGAAGGTGCGCAAGCAGATCGAGTCCATCTGATCCTCGGCGCCGGACGCTTGGGGTGGGGTGGACTTTTCCTCGCCACGGTAGACAAGTGACACGCCCACCTTCTGAACAATCCCAGAGCTGCAGCAGTCCCTTTATATGTGATATTTCAGTTATGAGTGGTGCCCCCTGCTGGCTTCCTCTGTCTCGGGGGACTCCAGTGGTGACCACTCCCACCTTCATCCCCAGAGTTGTCACCAGTGGGGGGGGAGAGTCCCTGAGACCGAGGAGTCTGTCAGGGAAATTCATCCACCATCTTCCAATGAAATGACTGCTATGGGCGGAGTGACCCTTTAGACTGTTGTCTGATTGATGGGATGTTGAAGGGCCCCTACACCAGGAGGGGGCCCCATACTTGTCCCTCAGGACGAGGGGAGTAAATTGGATGCTCGTTCTGTGACATTTGGACTTTCCATGTATTTATTATATAAACTGATACAATTTGGATGTTTTATATTTTTAGGAAAATAAAAAAAATACTTTTCATTTTATTATTTATTTCTTTATACATCTCAACGTCACCATAGAGAGAGCTCCAGAGTGGGGTCATGTGATCCCTCCCAGCCAATGTGGTGAAAGCTCCAGAGTGGGGTCATGTGATCCCTCCCAGCCAGAGTGGAGTCATGTGATCCCTCCCAGCCAATGTGGTGAAAGCTCCCAGAGTGGAGTCATGTGATCCCTCCCAGCCAATGTGGTGAAAGCTCCCAGAGTGGGGTCATGTGACCCCTCCCAGCCAATGTGGTGAAAGCTCCCAGAGTGGAGTCATGTGATCCCTTCCAGCCAATGTGGTGAAAGCTCCAGAGTGGGGTCATGTGATCCGCTCCCAGCCAATGTGTGAAAGCTCCCAGTGTGGGGTCATGTGATCCCTCCCAGCCAATGTGTGAAAGCTCCGAGTGGGGTCATGTGATCCCTCCCAGCCAATGTGGTGAAAGCTCCAGAGTGGGGTCATGTGATCGCTCCCAGCCAATGTGGTGAAAGCTCCAGTGTGGAGTCATGTGATCGCTCCCAGCTCCAATGTAGTGAAAGCTCCAGAGTGGGGTCATGTGATCCCTCCCAGCCAATGTAGTGAAAGCTCCCAGATGTGTGGGGTCAGTGTGTCATGTGATCCCTCCCAGCCAATGTGGTGAAAGTCATGTGATCGCTCCCAGCCAATGTGGTGATCGCTCCCAGCGTCCCAGTGGGGTCATGTGATCATGTGATCCCTCCCAGCCAATGTGGCGAAAGCTACCAGTGTGGGGTCATGTGATCCCTCCCAGCCAATGTGGCGAAAGCTACCAGTGTGGGGTCATGTGATCCCTCCCAGCCAATGTGGCGAAAGCTACCAGTGTGGGGTCATGTGATCCCTCCCAGCCAATGTGGCGAAAGCTCCCAGTGTGAAGTCATGTGATTCCCCCAGCCCCCTCCCCCCAGGCAGTATAGTGAAAGCTCTCAGAGTGGGATCATGTGATCCCTCCCAGCCAATGTGGGGAAAGCAGTGATGCATCATGGGACGTGAGGTGCACCCGGTGGATCTGAATTAGTTCCGGCACTGCGCCTGCTCCCAGGAGGACGTCATTAGAAGAGGCAGTGCCGGGCAGAGTACTGGATCCTCAGTCTTCATCTGTGGGTGTCACTGGTGGCATTTACCCCAGGGGGGGGATATTCTCTCCTGGGGCCACTATTCTGTGACACTGATAATTTGTAGGCTTTTCCTCCCTTGGGGTCACTATCCCACTGACACCAAACATTTGGGGGTTATTCTCTCCTAGGGGCCACTATTATGTGACTCCAATGATTTTTGGGGGGGTTATCTATTTTTGCCTGGGTGCCAGAATCCCACTAACACCAATGAGTTGGGGGGTTATTCTTCCCTGGTGGTCACTATCTGACTGACACCAATGATTTGGGGGGCCACTATTCCAGTGATTTGGGGGCTAATATCACCTGGGGGGGGACACTCCAGTGACACCAATGATTTGGGGACTATTCTTTTCTAGGGGCCCACTGTCCGACTGACACCAATGATTTGGGGGGGGGGGCACTATCCCACTGACACCAGTGATTGGGGGGCGCTATCCCACTGACACCAGTGATTGGGGGGGGGCACTATCCCGCTGACACCAGTGATTGGGGGGGGCACTATCCCGCTGACACCAGTGATTGGGGGGGGCACTATCCCGCTGACACCAGTGATTGGGGGGGGGGGGCACTATCCCGCTGACACCAGTGATTGGGGGGGGCACTATCCCACTGACACCAGTGATTGGGGGGGGGGGCACTATCCCGCTGACACCAGTGATTGGGGGGGGCACTATCCCACTGACACCAGTGATTGGGGGGGGGGGGGGGCACTATCCCGCTGACACCAGTGATTGGGGGGGGGCACTATCCCGCTGACACCAGTGATGGGGGGGGGCACTATCCCACTGACACCAGTGATTGGGGGGGGGCACTATCCCACTGACTCCAGTGATTGGGGGGGCACTATCCCGCTGACACCAGTGATTGGGGGGGGGCACTATCCCGCTGACACCAGTGATTGGGGGGGGGGCACTATCCCGCTGACACCAGTGATTGGGGGGGGCACTATCCCGCTGACACCAGTGATTGGGGGGGGGCACTATCCCACTGACACCAGTGATTGGGGGGGGCACTATCCCACTGACTCCAGTGATTGGGGGGGCACTATCCCACTGACACCAGTGATTGGGGGGGGGCACTATCCCACTGACACCAGTGATTGGGGACTATTGGTTGTCATTCTCTCCCTTTCCACACTTCTATGGACCTTTCCCCCAGTTGGGTCATGGAAGGTTCTGGAAGAATTTCCGGGGTTCTGGTGTCACTATGATTGACGCAATGAAGGCGTTCGGATCGCCGCGGGTAAATTTGCCGTCTTGTTGATGGATCTGATCGGTTTCAGCGATTGATGATTGATTGTGTAGTACATTGATCGGATGGATGGAGAGAACCTTCCGGTGTCTGGCCGGGATACCATGCGGCGGTCCACGTGTCGCGTCCCCTCCCCCCGCCCATAATCGGCGCCTTTCTTATCTCACGCGGACCGTTTCTGCCAGAAATAATCGTTTTTTCCCCGTAATCACACATTGTACAGATTCCTCGCAGACGTCAATCATACAAAGTATTTATTTCCTCCTACAATAATCCCCCCCGGAGGGCGGAGTACGGCGCCCCCATCGGACGCACCACCCGCCATCATCGTCCGTATCAGATTAGCGCGGCGGAGATCAGCTCATCCGCGGGATTTCATCTCATTCAGGGCCGCCCCGGGCTACGTCTCCGGAGATACAGGACATTGTCTCCGATGGCTGATAAGCGGCGGGTCAGTCTGCGCCACCGCGGGATCAGGAGATAAACGGGCGCCTCGGTCTGCGCGCTTGCAGCGTCCAATATGGCGGAAGGCTTGTAAACGTCACACAAGTGGCAGAAGACGGACGTCTCAGAGGCATTTCAGGAAGAATTGGTTGCAGACGCTTCGCCTGGGGCAGTCGCAGAGCTTTCCGATCCGCGGTCCGCGTTTCACCGCGCACTCGTCTCCCATGATGCACTGCGAGGAAGAGAAGATGTGCGTCAGCTGTGTGATGATGTCATAGGGAGCGGTACAATGATCTCTGTACAGCGCCGCGGTATATGTCAGAGCTACATAATGTGTGTGACTGGGGGGAGGGGACAATAGAGTGTAAGCTCCTCAGTACAGAGACTGATGGGACTGTGGGGGAGGGGACATTAGAGTGTAAGCTCCTCTGGTACAGAGACTGATGGGACTGTGGGGGAGGGGGCATTAGAGTGTAAGCTCCTCTGGTACAGAGACTGATGGGACTGTGGGGGAGGGGGACGTAAGCTCCTCTGTTGATGTGAGGGGTGTAAGCTCCTCTGGTACAGAGACTGATGGGACTGTGGGGGAGGGGACATTAGAGCGTAAGCTCCTCTGGTACAGAGACTGATGGGACTGTGGGGGAGGGGACATTACAGAGACTGAGAGTGGGGGAGGGGTAAGCGTAAGCTCCTCTGGTACACTGAGACTGATAGAGTGACTGTGATGGGACTGCGGGGGAGGGGGACATTAGAGTGTAAGCTCCTCTGTACAGAGACTGATGTGACTGTGGGGGGAGGGGACATTAGAGTGTAAGCTCCTCTGTACAGAGACTGATGGGACTGGGGCGGGGGAGGGGACATTAGAGTGTAAGCTCTCTGGTACACAGACTGATGGGACTGTGGGGGGGAGGGGACATTAGAGTGTAAGCTCCTCTGGTACAGAGACTGATGGGACTGTGGGGGAGGGGACATTAGAGTGTAAGCTCCTCTGGTACAGAGACTGATGTGACTGTGGGGGAGGGGACATTAGAGTGTAAGCTCCTCTGTACAGAGACTGTAAGCTCCTCTGGTACACAGATGATGGGACTGTGGGGGAGGGGACATTAGAGTGTAAGCTCCTCTGGTACAGAGACTGATGACTGTGGGGGAGGGGACATTAGAGTGTAAGCTCCTCTGGTACACAGACTGATGGGGGGGGGGGGGACATTAGAGTGTAAGCTCCTCTGGTACAGAGACTGATGGGACTGCGGGGGAGGGGACATTAGAGTGTAAGCTCCTCTGGTAGAGACTGATGTGACTGTGGGGGAGGGGACATTAGAGCGTAAGCTCCTCTGGTACAGAGACTGAGGGGACTGTGGGGGAGGGGACATTAGAGCGTAAGCTCCTCTGGTACAGAGACTGATGGGACTGGGGGGAGGGGACATTAGAGTGTAAGCTCCTCTGTACAGAGACTGATGGGACTGTGGGGGGAGGGGACATTAGAGTGTAAGCTCCTCTGGTACACAGACTGAGGGACTGCGGGGGAGGGGACATTAGAGTGTAAGCTCCTCTGTACAGAGACTGATGGGACCGGCTCAGTGTTCTCTGTACAGCGCCGTGGTATATGTCGGAGCTCTATAAGCAGTGATATGGGGGGTCTGGGCTCACCTTGGGCATCTGGTTCAGTTTGGACTCCCATAGGATTCCCTGCTTGGATTGGAGTTTTTCCAGAACATCCTGAAGCTCCAGAAGCTGCGGACAGAAGACGACACGAAGCGATTATTGGACCTCCTATGGAACGCCGACTACAATACGTGACACCAGAATCCCCGAATCTGAGCCATCCGCTCCGTCCTCATATTACACCGAGAAGAATATCGATTGGAGCCGGGATCAGACGCTTTATAGAGACCGATCGATTATTGGTGATAGGTGGATGGATCAATAAGAGACTTATAGTCATATAGAACGATCGATCATAACATAGATTGATGGGTTGGTAATAGATCTATAAACCAATATATTGATAAGAGATCTATAAACCAATATATTGATAAGAGATCTATAAACCAATATATTGATAAGGGATCTATAAACCAATATATTGATAAGGGATCTATAAATTGAAGATATTGATGCGATCTAGAAACCAATATATTGATAATGGATCTATAAACCAATATGTTGATGCGATCTATAAACCAATATATTGATGCGATCTATAAACCAATATATTGATAAGAGATCTATAAACCAATATATTGATAAGAGATCTATAAACCAATATATTGATAAGGGATCTATAAAACCAATATATTGATAAGAGATCTATAAACCAATATATTGATAAGAGATCTATAAACCAATATATTGATAAGGGATCTATAAACCAATATATTGATAAGGGATCTATAAACCAATATATTGATGCGATCTAGAAACCAATATATTGATAATGGATCTATAAACCAATATGTTGATGCGATCTATAAACCAATATATTGATGCGATCTATAAACCAATATATTGATAAGAGATCTATAAACCAATATATTGATAAGAGATCTATAAACCAATATATTGATAAGGGATCTATAAACCAATATATTGATAAGAGATCTATAAACCAATATATTGATAAGGGATCTATAAACCAATATATTGATAAGAGCTCTATAAACCAATATATTGATGCGATCTAGAAACCAACATATTGATAAGGGATCTATAAACCAATATATTGATAAGAGCTCTATAAACCAATATATTGATGCGATCTAGAAACCAATATATTGATAATAGATATATAAACCAATATATTGATAAGAGCTCTATAAACCAATATATTGATAATAGATAACCAATATTAGATGGACGATTGATTAAAGATAGACATAACTTTATATTAGAGGGAGCGATAATAGATTGGCAATAAACTGATAATCAATTTTAGATTGATGATTAACGATAGTCTGAGAGATAATAGATTGATAATAAACAATAGTAGACAATTATTGATGATTGATTGAAATAGACTGAGAGGTTATACGATGAATTGATGTCAGATTGATTCCTAAACTATAGACTGTTAGATTTATAATAGATTGATAGTACAATAAATTGATAATCAATTTTAGATTGATGATTGATTAAAGAGAGGTGGAGAGATAATAGATTGACAATAATAAAGATGAATTGATTTTAGATTGATTGATAAAAGGCCGAAAGATTTACAATAAAGAGATAATAGATTGATAATACAATAAATTGACAATAATCAATATTAGATTGATGATTGATTAGAAATAGACTGAGAGGTAATAGATTGATAATAAGAGAGATTGATAGATATGCTGATTGATTGATTAAAGATAGGCGGAGAGATAATAGATTGGCAATAAAGATGAACTGATATTAGATTGATTGATAAAAGGCCGATAGATTTACAGTAAAGACGTTGATAATACAATAAATTGATCATAAACAATATTAGACAATTATTGATAATTGATTAGAAATAGACTGAGAGGTAATAAGATGGATTGATGTTAGATTGATTCCTAAACGATACTGTTTTATTTATAATAGATTGATAATACAATAAATTGATTATAGATCAACAATATTAGATTGATGATTGATTAAAGATAGGTTGAGAGATAATAGATTGACAATAAAGATTAATTGATATTAGATTGATTGATTGATAAAAGGCCGATAGATTTATAATAAAGAGACTGATAATAGATTGATGATACGATAAATTGATAATAAACGATGTTAGATTGATGATTGATTATAGATAGGCTGAGATTTAACAGATAATAATAAAGATGAATTGATATTAGATTGATTGATAAAAGGCCGATAGATTGATAATACAATAAATTGATAATAAACAATATTAGGCAATTATTGATGATTGATTAGAAATAAACTGAGAGGTAATAAGATGGATTGATGTTAGATTGATTCCTAAACGATAGACTATTAGATTTATAATTGGTTGATAATACAATAAATTGATTATAGATAAACAATATTAGATTGATAATTGATTAGAAATAGACTGAGAGGTAATAGATTGATAATAAGAGAGATTGATAGATATGCTGATTGATTAATTAAAGATAGATGGAGAGATAATAGATTGACAATAAAGATGAATTGATATTAGATCGATTGATAAAAGGCCGATAGATTTATAATAAAGAGACTGATAATAGATTGATAATACGATAAATTGATAATAAACGATATTAGATTGATGATTGATTATGGATAGACTGAGATTTAACAGATTGATAATAATAAAGATGAATTGATTTTAGATTGATTGATAAAAGGCCGAAAGATTTACAATAAAAAGAGATAATAGATTGATAATACAATAAATTGACAATAATCAATATTAGAATTGATGATTGATTAGAAATAGACTGAGAGGTAATAGATTGATAATAAGAGAGATTGATAGATATGCTGATTGATTGATTAAAGATAGGCGGAGAGATAATAGATTGGCAATAAAGATGAACTGATATTAGATTGATGATTGATAAAAGGCCGATAGATTTACAGTAAAGACGTTGATAATACAATAAATTGATCATAAAACAATATTAGACAATTATTGATAATTGATTAGAAATAGACTGAGAGGTAATAAGATGGATTGATGTTAGATTGATTCCTAAACGATACTGTTTTATTTATAATAGATTGAAAATACAATAAATTGATTATAGATCAACAATATTAGATTGATGATTGATTAAAGATAGGTTGAGAGATAATAGATTGACAATAAAGATTAATTGATATTAGATTGATTGATTGATAAAAGGCCGATAGATTTATAATAAAGAGGTTGATAATAGATTGATGATACGATAAATTGATAATAAACGATGTTAGATTGATGATTGATTATAGATAGGCTGAGATTTAACAGATAATAATAAAGATGAATTGATATTAGATTGATTGATAAAAGGCCGATAGATTGATAATACAAAAATTGATAATAAACAATATTAGGCAATTATTGATGATTGATTAGAAATAAACTGAGAGGTAATAAGATGGATTGATGTTAGATTGATTCCTAAACGATAGACTATTAGATTTATAATTGGTTGATAATACAATAAATTGATTATAGATAAAATATTAGATTGATAATTGATTAAAAATAGACTGAGAGTAATAGATTGATAATAAGAAGATTGATAGAATGCTGATTGA